ACTGTAACTTGATTTAATAATTGAACGTAAGTAATATTATTGAATTTTCTTTATTATCGAAAATTTATAAGGTCTTTTTTATTTTATTTTAATTTGGTTAATGTATATTCATAGAGAGAACATGATATAACATGATATAATAATATCATTTCATAGAATTATATAATATATTTTTATTATAGTTATATTTATATGCAGAGTACTCCGAATAATTATATTATTATAAATATTGTATTTATATTGTTAACTACGTTAAACATCAGTTCTCAGTCTCAATAGATATTTGAATTTGTATTTCATATTTCCAAGAAAAGATAAATTTTCGTATTTCATTACCTAAACTATATTTTATATTACAATATGGAAATGCCCCAAAATATTTTTAATTTTTCCTTTTTTTAAATAATGAAAAATGTAAAGAAGTATGATTGATTTTTTATTATATAATATAATTATTACAATTTATATAAATTTAAGAATAAATTTTCAATGAAAATAAATATGTGATTATCTTCAATTTGATTCGAATTTAATATCGAATTGACGTTAAACGAATCCAAATAAAAAATATAACTAAAGTCGTTTGTGGAAAAGGAAAAAAGTAAAAGTAGATAAAAGACAAGAGGTACCTGCTCGTTGTAAACTGGCATCCATCTGATCCCTTTCCTTGCCCTTTTCGGACTACGAGTGGTCAGAAATGATTACTCGTGATTTAAGTGGTTCTCTAGGCGTTCAGGACCTCGAGACCGTCCGACCAGCTGCATTTAGCAGCCTTGGATGCTCTAGCCCCGTTTTATCTACAAATTGCAGGACTTGTATGGATTTAAACATAGAAGAGAACCGGAGGAATGACTTTTTCATTTTCTTTCTCTGTCTTCTAACCCCCTGCCCCTCGTTTCATTCTCACTCTTTTTATTTTTGTCTGTTTCTCCTTTCCTTTGTGCATTTTATTTCTTTACAGGAAGTTTTCTAGCATGAAAATATAATAAAACTTCTTTATTCCAAAGTATTGATATATTACCATATGCAAATTCACTATATCTTTCTTGGTATCTAATAGCTATGATAAATGTTAATAATATTCCAAATACATTAGTATCTTTTATATACGAACGGGAATGGTAAAAAAATGATTGATCGATGTGATTGGAAAAATACGAACCCATTTAACATAAAAAACAATTCAGATAAATCGGTTACATTTTACAATAAGATGTTTTAAAGTTTCATCTATGGTACAAATCTAATTGAATTTGCTATTTCAATGAATCAGATATTTAGAAAAAAATTTAATTTAAGAGCATTGAATATTAAAAAAAAAAAACGATTAAAATATCTGCGTTGCAAATGTTATCTAGCAATTAATATATAGAACGGATAATAATGATTCGTAATTAAAAGCTTATCAGAATTGATATAAAGTCAAAAAAAGAAAAAGAACAAAGAAAAACCAAAAAATTTTAATCTTAATTTACTGAAAAATATTATCGTTTAATATCGTCTGTACTAGTCTAAAGTCTTAACTCAACTGATCTGTTTTTTTCTTCCGTCATTTCTCTCTGACGTTATTCGAGCAAAAGACAGTTTGTTTAATGTTTACATATTCCTCGTATTCCCCCCGTGTACGTCATACATTTATATTTACATCTGTCATACATATGCGTATATCATACTTATGCGTAACTGCCATTCACGTGTCCCACATATTATCATTCTTAGAAATAAATTAGATAAGATGTGTATCGGATATTAAAAAAAACAATTGAAAATATGTTTGTAAGAAATGTTATCGAAGCAATTGATAGTTAGATCGGATAGTTGTGATTAGTGTTAGGTCCGATCCTTTGTTTCTAGACAGAGTTCAGAGCACAGATAGCTTCGAAAGCGGTGGCCACTCGAGACAAGTAGTACCCTCGACATGGTAACGGCCTGGTAACTGCCTCGTAAGCCGTCTAACGGAGCACCGACTATCCCTAATGTCCGATCCCTGCGCGGTGGTTACGATCGTCCTGCTGGAATGGCCTCTTCATCAAGGATCACACGCCTAAATCCTTCGATGTGGACCGAACTCTCCTCCTCTCTCTCTCTCTCTCACTGTCCTTCTCAACCAGATCGAGCTCGTGAAAACGTAGCGATCAAACGAGAGGACAACCCACATCAGCAACAGTATCGAATAGTGTTACCACGATCGCAGGAAATTCAATGAGAATCAAAGAGGAATCGAGAGAAGGTTCGATAACGAACGATTCTAGCGGAGTGACGATCCCTCGATGATGATGATGATGATGATGATGATGATGATGATGACGATGATGATGAAGGAAACTAGTGCGTCCTCTGAAGTCGATGACGGTATTGCTTGTTCCGATGGTACTTCACACTCGGATAGCGCAATCGAATTATTGGGTTTTCGACTTTGATCAATCTGTATTACTGTTCTGATAGTTTAACATGAATTATACTATTTCACTCTTTTCTCTCTCTCTCTATCTTCATTTCTGTATTTATCTATTTAATTATCTATTTATTTTTTGTATCTACCTATCTATCTATATAAATAACTAGGTAGGTAGCTACCTGGCTACATATAACTGATAGTCCGAAGCCGCAATGACGGTACACCGCACACTGATGATGAGAACCGATGCTTCTTGCCGGGATTTCCAGGCAACGGCTTCGCCAATAATGCCGTTCTCCTGTTTCTCTTCCGCTTCAGTGAAGGGTGTATTGCGTTCGAGGCTATCCCATTACGGGACCACCGGCTTCAGTGTTCGATGTTATCCCGACGAGAAGGATAACCCCTAACTCCAAATAGATAGCTCCACGATTACGATTTCCCGATTAATTTGCATTTCTCACTCGAACAATCGACCACACTGAAAGATATATATCTTCTCTTTTCTCTCTCTCTCTCTCTCTCTCTTTCATCCTTAGTTTAATACTCTCAACTTATGTTCCAATCTATTATCACTTCCGTTGTTTATTTACGAGATATCTTTGAAGATCTTCTAACAATTGTCACTAACTATTATTCAAAATAAAAGATACTAACGAGCAAGCAATCAAATTGATCGTTCGGAATCGAGCTTGTCAATGGTAACAATTCCTGTTTGGTTGTTTGCGATAAGGAAACTCTGATCATCGCGATGTAGCGAAGCTTCCTATGAGGATACAATGCAAGGGTACTTACAAGGGATCTAGACACGATCGTTAGGATATATACAGAGATATACTTGTCCAGAAAAGAAGACTCTCAAAGGACCTTCCGAGCGAAATATATTTCTCAACGGGTGGGATTTACGTTTGTATGTTATATCTTCACAAGAGATACATATTGGTGGGGGAGGGGTGGAAAAAAAGGAAAAGAAGAAAGGAATACGTTTCGTGGAAGGCGTCAAATTTATAACCATTAAATTGATATTTCCTGAATCGGTGTCAGAAGCATCCAATATCGTTCGAATAGGTTTATTGGATGTATGAGTTTGTGCGTTTGCGTGTGCGTGTGCGTGTGCGTGCACGAGTTTGTTGAACGAGATAGGGGTTCGAAATAGTCCTGACCAGGACTTCCCTTACAAGAAGAGGAAGGACAGGAGAGGAACGTTCGTCCATTGAAAAGCGAACAAACTGGTCGGTCTTTTGTTGAACACAATGCACGGGGGCTTACGAACGTCCAATATTTTCCGTCGACAGACTGCACGCGTTCATCTCGTTATAAAGTTTGTTTGATAGGCAAATATCGGACTCCGGTGATGTGCATGCCCAGAGATTCTCCACGGAAACAGGAGTAACTGATGCAACTGGGTTATAACATCGATATAAAACAAAATCGATACTACTTAAATCAAATTGTGTTAGTAAACTGGCCAATGGAATTTTTTCTTTTTTCATGTTCCTAGTATTCTCTCTCTCACTCTTCCTCTAATAAACTCCTATTGCAGTTCTATGTATCTTAGTGATGAAATTAAAACACTAGTTGTAAATTAAGCAATAAATAAATAGGATTCAAACTGTTATCTATTTTTTTCCAAGGACTATAATATTTTACTGAAATATTCTTAAATAAATTATGACCATAAAAATATTCTGATATTACAATAAAATTTGTTACTTGTTGATTCAATAACTAAGACCAGATCGATTACGTACTCTAATTTCCTCAAAACTTCAAAAGTCAAGAATCAATCTGAACTTTTATAATAATTAAAAACCGAATAAAAAAAGATTCTGGTGGTGCTTTCGATCTATCGATTTGTAGACGAATTCATATTCATCGTAGAATAGAAAAGGGGTGCGAAAAAAGAATAGCCACGTTAGACTAGTCGCGTAAGCGTATTGTCTAAAGTGTCTTGAAGATATTATCAAGGCCGTCGGCAATCTCAGGAGTTTGCATCTGTGCCCAATATTACACAGTAGAAGCCTTGGAAGGCACCCCCTTGCGTCTGTTTTCCTATGATGACGACGAAGACGACTTACATGCTCACCTACACCCTTTGGTAGCACGTACGAAGTGAGAGAGTGCCTATGACAAATGTTGCCATCTAAACAAAGGACCTCGCGGAACAGTACGCGCGTACCGCAGACACGCAATTTCCGCGTGGCATGTAAATCGCTCGAAATGAATTTCTGCCAATCACACACGTGCCTACTTCTATCCTTCTCATTCGTTCTCACAAACTCTCTCACTCTCCGTTTCTCACTTTCTCGTCTTGAACGATTGCTAGGGATCCCTTTGGTGTTTGTGCATTCAACTAAATGAGAGAAAGCACGAATGAAAGTAACAGTTCGTTAAAAGATTGAACATATGATGCTTGGAACTTGCTCTTTGAAATAATCAATAAGATATATTTTGATTAAAAAACAATCTAAAATAAATAAATTTATTATTAATTAGTAACCATAACAGATGATATCTCTAATTTAAATAATAAACAGTAACAAAATTATTTAAAGAAAAAGAATAGTTTTTATATAAAAAAAAGCTCGATTATTTTTCGAAACTGTCAACCATCTTTGGATAACATTCTGCGTATCTGAAATAATGTATGAATAAAGCAATATACTCGTATGTACTTTTAATCGTATGTGCTTGCGCGAAGCAAATGGGTTTTTGAATGAAAAGATCGTATGAATACTTTCTTCCCTTCTATTAACTTTGTGCTTCATCGCAATACCGTTTCAATCGATAATGCGATTAAGGGGTGTAAGAGACTATTCAGTGTATTTAAAAAATTATTACAAGAAGAAAATTATCGATTATTTGACTATAAAAAATTATGACAAATCCATGAATGTCCGCGATTGTTATATAATATATAATATATGTTATTTAATTTTTCGAGGAACTTGAGTTAAGCTTTGTATGGTTCTTGAAAAGATTTCCAGGGCTGTTTGATTCATTGACAAGAGAATACGAGAAACGAGATTGAATCGATGGAATCTCGCATGTCTAGACGTAGAATAATGAAAGTCTGAATCATTGGTGGCTGGTAGTCGAGGTTGTCACCGGATAAAGCCAGAATGGTTTCTTTCGTCGCTTAACGAACGCCTGGATAAATAGCTTCTTCGTGAAAAAGCATGAGCGCTCTCGCACGAATTGGCTGAATTCCAAGCGCGAAGCTAGCGGAAGGTACGACGAGGATGAGCATCGAGAACGAGGACTACGAGAAGGAGGAAAAGGTTCGCTTTCTTCCCTGTAACGTATAGGGGCTTCTTTTCTTCACTTTTCCTCGGTTGGTGGTGCATCGTCGAAGCGAATAAATGGTTTGCTTCTGTCGGCATGGAAGATCTAAGGAATAGTTGAGAGTTCGACGCGCGATGAGCGTCTTTTGCTTTCCTTAAAATACCGCGAAAACTTTACGAAAGAAGATTTCGACTGTGAGAAGGCCGTACAAAATGAATGAAAGAAGCTAACGCTCTCAGCGAAATATTTCACAAGGGGATGATTTCAAGATGGGATCGCGAAAAATCAATCTACACGTAAACGCATACAAACACTCGCACGCTGAACATATGAACTTATAAACGTTTATACTTGCAAATTTTCGGATTCTTACGGGATAGTAAAAGTTTTCTAAAAAATCTTTCTATACCAAAAGAGAAATTAAAATCCTTTGTAACTACTTGTTTTTGTAAACACTACCTTCCAAAATAAGACATGGATAATGCGTATATTCTTATGAGTTTACTATTGTCATAGACAATCATAACTAATATATACTTAAAGTTTAATTATTTATATAGTATTAGAAATTTTGCTTTTTGCTAACTAACTATATTTTAAATAAATACATTTTCATTGCAGTTGTCTTTGGAAAACATAAAGTCGAGTAAAATAATCTCATATTATTGCATAAATTAATAGCAGATGCAATGTTGACCAGGTCGGGTAGAATAGTAAAAAGGAGTAGTGCTAGATGGTGCAGGACTGCTAGGGGCGGCAGAGCTAGGTGCGCTAC